AGGTAGAAATTCCAGGTAGAAGGAATTTTATGTGTAAAACCCAGTTGTAAAGAAAAGCACAATACTTGCCAGGGGCTGAAAGAGGGTCTGGTATGACTAGAGCAATGGGAGTTAAATGGAGCAAGATGAGGTTGAAGGGCTATGGGCCCGAGCATACAGGGATTTAATAGAGCATATTCTATTTCAGGGTTTTATTTTTCCAAGCGATGGAAAGACACTAAAGGAACAGGCAGCAGGATGTGGTGAAAAGATAGAACTTGCATTTTGTAAAGCCCACACTTTATTGCAGATGGTGAACAGATTAGAGGGGGCCAGAATGGATACAAGGAGATCAGTAAGGCGACTACAGTCCTCCTGGGGAGAGATGATGAAGTGCAGATGAAGACAGAGTTAGAGATCAACCTAAAGGGCAAAAAAAGACAGAGAGACTAAGTTTGGCCTGCCCAGTTACGTATGGGTGCACTGGTCACAAAGACGGGGAACACTGAGGACCGCTTTCCAATGAAGCCAGTCAATCTTTAGATTAACAAAGAAATATCTTCCTGCATTAGGTAGAAATATTTTATTTCCTGCATGTTCTCTCTCTAGGGGTACAGATAGATCAATTCTCATCTCTCCCACAAGGTAAATGCTCAAACATTAAAAAGTAACTGTCTTATACCCCTGAAGCATCTTTTTTCCTGGTCAATATTTTAGCTCCTTTGACCATATATTTTTTCTTTTAATAAACTGCCCTGGCTGTTTCCCTCTAAATGTTTGCCATGTTATGTATATCCCTTTTAAAATATAAATCTCAATACTCTAATGGAAGGTTGGAACATCACAAAGTAAAACAGGATTAGCACCTCTGTAATTTTAGATTATGTGATGAGCTCTCCTGACAGTCAAATCATATAATGCTATTATTAGTTCTTATTAAGATTAATGCCAACTAACACGTGGCCAAAATAATAGAATGCATATTGCCTTTGTTCGACTTAATAAAGATTTGGGTTACTTTGCTTCTGTCTGATGACCAGAGAGAGGTCTCTGTAAATTGGGTTGGGGCCAGGTGTTTTGTCTGATTTACTGTGAGCATCAATATTACCAGAAGCCACTCTAATACAGGTTCTACAAGTGAAAGGTGGCACCATTAAGCCTTGCCAAGCAGAGCAACATGCATGCGTGAACACACATGCAGACACACATACATATATACACACTCAAATCCTGCATTGAGGCTTCAAGGTTCTCTGACATCTTTTTCTTAGTTTTAAAGACAGTAACCTTGACCTAGCTATCAGTATCCGTGCGTAGTGGCACTCAATAAATACTCACTCAAAGAATGAATACACTCAGGTGATTTCTATATATACTTTAAATGACAATTGATGTGATTACTTAAGTAAGAAAAAAACAACATATGAGGCCTCAGTTGTCAGCATTTTACAATCTAATTATATGAATACTTTGCTAAGCTCTGTATTTTATTGTCTATGTAAACAGAAGAATAATGTTCTCAGGGAATAAAATGTTTTTCCCCTTCAAGGTTAAGAATCTGCCTAAACTGCCTAATCGCCTAGAGAAAAAAACTGATTATATTTGGGCAGTACCAATAGTTTTCCTTTGTCAAAGGTGAATGTTAAAGCTAATATTCTCCCCAAAGCAAAAAATGTTTTAGCTTCAATTTTTGAAACAGCTGAGAGAAAAATTATCTCATTTTTTATCTGAGGATAGCTGCTGACCTAGAAATTGTTGTGGTAATAATCCCCTGCACTGGTATCAATGTAGACATACTGACCAAAGTGTGCTGCTAAAAATATAGTGGATATCTAGCTTAAAATAGCTAAATATAAATTATGAAACAAATTTCCCCAAGAGGAACAGATACCAGATATAAAATTGTGTCAGAAGTGAAAAGCATCCAACTAGAGCACTGATGGCATTAAAACGAAATAAAATCATTAAATTCTTTCACACAAAAAGTGCCTGGATCTCAGCTTAAGTCCTTATGCAGTGGGGTGTAGACTTTTAAAAATGTATCTTCAAGGACTGCTTTAAGACAAAACTGATAGGACCTAAAAGTCATAAAGATAAATGTTTTACTTTTGTTTTCCTTTAGAGTTTTATGTTGTTTCTAAGAAAAAGAATTTTTAGAAACGCTGATAGGATTTTGGATTCAGTGTTTTCTTGACAATTATTTCTTAAACTAGCTGGCATGTATAGTATTTAAAATGTTCTTTTAACTCAGTTGTCAAAAGGCACTTAGGCATCTGCATTGAATAAGTATCACTGGCCATCATTTAGTTTTGTTTGTAGGTAGATTTGTAAGGTTTTTTTTTAACTCTAGAAAGGTCAGCAAAACTCACTCTTTGCTTTCAGCTTAGCCCTCCCTCTCTTTATTTTTTACGTACGTACCTGTCCAAACTTTAGCACCCACTCTCAAAATTCCAGATAGAATTCCATTGAGATCTTATAGGGATCACATTGAATATAATTGGAGAGAACTGCCTAGTAACAATAGTGAGTTTTTCCATCAGGAATATGCTGAGTCTTTTAATTTGTTCTGATTTAATGTCCTTTCATAAACTTTTATAGTAAAGTAAAAGATTTCATACATCTACCGTATTCCTTGTTAATTATTTTCTTATATTTTTATAATCTTTGTAGGTAGTCATAGCACTCATTTTCTCCTATTTAATTGGTAATTGGTGGCATATTGGAAAGGTCTTAATTTTATATTTATCCTGTATTTCAGCACCTTACTAAATGATCTTTTGGATCTCAACTGATGTTCAACTGATTTTCTTAAAATTTTTAAAAGATAATGTTATATGCAAATGACAACCTTCTCATTTCTTTTCCTATATGTATCCTCTTATTTCTTAATTCAATCTTACCACACTGGCTAAGATCTTCAGAAAATACTGAATGATGACAGTGATGGAGAAATTTTTGACTTCCAACTTATAAAAAATTTTTTTTTTCAGTTTTACTGAGGTATAATTGATAGAGAACTTGTATGTTTCATCTTTTATTATATATTTGGTATTGTTGTTTGATAGACATCTTGTATCAACTAAAGCTTCTTCCTATTAGTAGCTTTACTAAGAGGCTATATTCTTAATTAAAAACTGATTTTTAATTATAGTAAATGCCTTTTGACTATAATCACATAGTTTTTCTCTATTTCTTTAATATAATAAACTACACAAATTTACACTTTATAAACTATCAGTACATTTCTAAAGTAAGCCCTACTTGATCATGGCTTATCATTCTTAGAAGTTCCTCCTCTGGTCTGAGCTGCCTTTTTAAAAAGTGTCTTTAAATAATTCCTTTGTCTTTTAGTATCTTTTTTAGAGGACTCTGAGGTATTAGCACTAGGCTCAATGGTTAGAGATTCTCTCAAGGGAGTTCTTATATCTAGGAAAGAGGATTTTAAATTCAATATCATTATTACTGTAGTAGTGAGCAGAATAATTTTCAAATGCTTTATAATAAATCTATTCTTATTTGTGCTTTTTTATACCAGTAATTGCAAATAAGCTCTGGTCACTTACTTGTGATTTTCTAAGGCTTCGGCATGATATACTGAACACTATTCAACACTATTCAAATAGAAATCTTTATCCTTTGTGAGGCAGATGAAACATTTGCAAAAAGATTCACAATGTTTTCTGGGCATAAAATTATTTTTTTGTGGAAAGCAACCCTAACTAAAATAAATGAGTAACATGTGCATAAAAGTAACTTATGGGTCTATAAATGTTTTGAGTTGTCTTGTATATTAAAAAAAAATTTAAGATCATGGTCCAAATATCTTCTAAACAAATTTATTTCATCTGAGACTCTTACTCATATTATCAAATTATGGCTTTCTAAATCAAAACATTTCATTTAGAATGAACGAAAAAAATGATTTTTTAAGTCTAAAATTGAATAATTATCTTAAGGATTCGCCAGGGACACAGTACACTTCATGGTTCCAGAGACTGGCAACATCAGCTCTTCGCAAAACTAAGAATTATTTACTATTAACAGCTGCACATTAAGACAGAAAATGTTGATGATGCCTTGACAGTATTTCTGGATTGTATCGTTCTTAGTACATACAAACTATTACAAAACACTATTCACACATACTCCTCAACTGAAGACTTTTTCTACAAATAAAGGTAAATGGAAAAAATTCTAAAACGAATTTTAATGAAAACAGACACACATGTGCATGCACAGACACACACACACATACCCTAGAACTATTTGATGAATGAAATTTTAAATTGCCATCAATTACACTTGAAAGGGAAGAAGTAGTAGTCACCTGTTACCATACTATTTTCCTATAAAGTTGCTCGTTTGATACAAAGGCCTTTGGGAGGCGGGAAAAACAACAGAAAAATCTATTCCGAAATTCCATTTTCCTTAGGGATATTTTAACCTTTGAGATAAAAAAAAAATGTTTTATCTTGTTAGTCTATCATATTTTAGACAAAATAAAATTTCCCTCTATCATATTTTATTGGATTATTTAACTAAATCGCTTAAGGAAATGTAAAGTCAACTAAAGCATTTTTCCACTGGGAGCTGGGGTGGAGACAAACATGTTTCATAATTGTTAATATGTCTTTAGTATTTTCTTTCCTAGTTAAGGATGATAACATTTTGGACATCTGACCTGTCAAATCTATTCATGTGTTTTCTGCCCTGGGTTTAGGAGTCACATGCCATTTTTAGAAGATAACACTTAGCATTAAGTACCCTTCTTACATGAATCTGTACCTGTTTTCCAACTCTGCCTTTTCCTGTACATACCTGTATTTCCTTAAATATGAAGACACTCCACATTGCAGCTACAAATCCTGGACCCTTAAAAAAATAAGAACTTTAATTAAATTGTTTATTTTTCTGTGGCTATACTCTATGTAAATATAGTAAGTTGGGGACCTGACTTGATACTCTAACCCAATAGCTTTATATTGTAAAAGCAATATAATAATATTGTCTGGAAAAATTATTCATAATCTCAACCTCAACACAAAAGTAAAGTAACATTAGGTAAAAAATGAAGACTTTTTTTTCTTTATGTATGGTTTTCATTTTTATAATTTTGATGAGGCTATAGTATTTTGTGCCATAGAATGCTTTTCTTTAATATGATCTATTTGTAATAAAATATTTCAACAAGCAAATAGTTTATTTTTTTTTAGTGAACTAGTTTCTTATGGTACTAGAAATGAGATTAATAGGAAAAAAGTGTATGAACAAATTTATAACTTTCTCTGTCATGAGATAATCTCAAAACTGAAGAAATTTTGGACTGACAAATAATGTGCATATGGAAGCGGTTTAAAAAAAAACAAAACAAAACAAAAAACAAAAAAAACTGATACAACTGCCCAGTAATCAACTATGTTTTACATTAAACTCTAATGAGTACAAAAGATGGTGTTATGGGAAGAGAGAAAAACCATGCAAGGAAAAATAAACAGTGGGTTCATAAGCAGGAGACAAAGACAGGGATGAAATAATATAAGATTAAAGGAAATGAGAAGATGAGAGATAGGGAAAAAAGATGATTCTGCAATTTGAAAACTTTAAGCTATTAAAGTTTATTAATTTTTTTTCGCTGAGAAGGGAAGAAATGGGAGTTTGGATTAATCATGGTTTTTGTGGAGAAGGTGCATTGTATCAGCATTTTTATGATTCCTTTGCAAGCCCTGCACAAACTCTGGAAGAGTTTCAAATAAACAATCCAACATGTTTTTCCTCCCTCCACTACTCCAACTGTCTACATGAGTGGGTCAACAAAGTTTGACTCCACTCCTGGCATATAAGAAAAGCAATAAAAATACATTACTCTCTGTTTATCAGCATCTGGAAAAGTCCACATCAAAAGAGCCAGAAAAATAGGTCAAAGGAACTATCTTTTATCAGTGACGTAAGGTCCTAAGCCTTAAAATCCAAACCAAACAAGAAGCATCTGGGTCTTTTAGGCAAATCCATACTGACTTTGGACAGGACGGGAGAAAACAATAGAATAGGGGATATCATATTAAAGTTATCATGCCAATTGCTCAAGAATTTTATTGTTTTTAATTTGGAAATTCATTTCATTTTTGAGTATATAGTAGAAGAAAATACCAAAGGTATCACTCAATTTTGAGACCTTTTGGCTGATTGTTTTTTAAATATTAGTTTAGATAGTGCCTAAAGGTTATTGAAAGAAGTAATGTGGTTATAGGAATGGGTGCTTTGCCAAAAGTAATGTAAACATAAGTCAAATTGTGTACAGACTCTTTATTCAGGCAAGGGAAGGCCAGTAGGAAGGACATCTTAGACAAGAGATACACTGTTATGACAATTGGGATACTTTTCTTTTGTAAATTCATACAAATGACATGTTTGTAAATCAACCTTTGAAAACAAGGTGAGCTTGAGCTATCTAGAGCAGCCGAACCTTCTGGATAAGGTGATCCAGATTTTAGACTTACAGGGAATACTTGGAAAAGAAGGGATAAGCTTTTTCTTGTGCTAGGTGGGGTTTGTTTTTCTTTTCTCTTTCTTCCTTCCTTCCTTCCTGCCTGCCTGCTTGCCTGCCTTCCTTTATTTCTTTCTTTGCTTTTTATTTGAATGTTATTTGCCAATAAACAATATAGATGCTGCCTTCACGGAACTCACAGTCTAGTAACCAATGGATACATAACAATGGAAATATATGTACCTGGGAAGAAGAATGTACTTTTTTGATCAAATAAGATTGAACATATTCATAATTTTTGAAGCTGGGCGATGGGTATATCTGAAATTTTCCATTCGAAAAAGTTAGAAAAAAAAAATCTAGCTCTACCAAGATAAAATAAAAAGGAATGTAAAATCTTTGAGGGTAGGGACGGAATCTTTTCTGCATCTGGATGAGGTTGTCTTAAGTAAAATAAAAGCGAAACCAAGCAAGAGCCTAGTGGCAATAAAGACCTATTTTACCATCTCTCAGACATAACCTGTCCTTCCCAGATAGCAATCAATCCTCAAGCAGCAAAGGAAGCTATATCTGGTGGGTGGGAAGCCTTTGCTTATATCACTTTGGTTCAAGAATATCCTTTTGACAGGCAAGGTTCCAAAAGCTGCAGTGACCACTCCCACTGACTCTCTGCCCACACCCCACCTACCTCAGCAATTTATTTCCACTGAATTAGGCTTTAATGTTTTGCCTGGAGTCTTTATCACAATTTAATACAAGAAGGCAGCAGTTAGAAAAAACATCTGTCTACTATAAAATTTTTGTAAAGAATATTGTTTATTGTTGTTCAATGTCCCTTGTAAAAGGCCTCACATGATAATTCTGTTAAAAATTTAAATGCTAGGAAATAGTGGTCTTTTCAGATAAAATGTTATCAGTTAAAAATAATTAGCCACCTCACTGTATTAACATCTTTTGAAAGTGAAAGAAAAACTTAATGTTTAATCACATAATTACCCTTTGTGCTATTTGCTTCCTTTCTCATTTTTATTATAGTTTTGGTTTTTTATTTCGATTTTTCCTGTGTGACTCAATCGTATCTATGCACTTTATATAAAATTACTTCAAACTCTTTTTGGAAAACCCCAATTTGTTGAAGCATATAACATTTGTATCCCTAGTTGATGAGCATATCATAGTATATACTTTTACTGCAAATTACTTTTAAGCATTTAGCTGGTAGGTTTTACACCCCATTTCCTATTATATTTTCCTGTGTTACATAGATACTTCTTGCATTAAATATCCCTGAAATGATGAGAAACAAACTCCTTTATGGAAATTATTTGGGTCCTTTGACATTCCAAAGATGAGAACTTAAACCTGAAAAAATTCCTTATAATTTGTTTGATTTTAATAACATTTTCCCTCAGCAGAGATTAAAAATGTCAAAATGTGGGTTTTAAATTTTAAATTATTATTTGAATTTAATTGTAATTTAAAGCTATTTTATGAACACAGTAGAACTGTCAAAAATATACTGTTTGAAACCCAGAATTTATAATTGTGTTTCAGACTTTTATACAATACGTTTTAGACAATCAATTTTTTAAAAATCAGTTTTGTAGATTTGCATGGGTATGCTGCTAAAATGTTTTAGGCAAATTTTATTTATGATGATTTAAGAAGCAGGGGATGCAGGTGAACAACTGTTCAGCAACCTAAAATATCTAGAGTAGACGTAAGACCTCAACATTAAAACAATATTAAAATAATTAATTCCTGTGTTTATCTCAGTCCTAGTACCATGATAACCTGAAACAGCTCTAGACTGGATTCTATACTGATGGCAAAAAATAGCACCGTATACTGGAAACTGTTCTTAGAAGCCTTGAGATTCTCACTAGGTTGGTTACTTCAGACAATACTCTTGGCTATTGCCTCAATTTTCTCATTTTCAAAATGGGGACAGTCCTCTCAAACTTCATCTGCCCATGTCAAAGGGAATATTTTTGTTTTTCTGTTAATTATGTGCTGCATAGCTGCACCTAAAAAATATCAGATAAAGTAAATTGTATCATGTAATAAATGGCATTATCTAGAGACAATACTTTTTATTTAGCACTTTCTAAAAACCTTCCTTTAAAATATTGAAGTGCCATATGAAGGGGAGTATGAAGTACTTTCTATCTTAGAAGGTTGTCATGAGATTCAAGTGTGATAATATATACAAAAACTTTTTTTATTTATAAACTGTTATATAGAGATAAGTATTGTTATCTCTATATAACAGTTTATAAATAAAAAAAGTTTTATTTAAATAGCAGATTATAATGTATCGAAAATTCCATTAGGTAAAATGACCAAAGAAAAACTGCAAGGATATCAAAGATTAACAAACCTGCTAAAATGAAGTTAGCAATATTCCCTTAGCGATTCAGGACATGAGATTAGAGGCTATCAGAATCTATTATACTAATTGTCTTCCTAAAAAATCAAACTCTATGAAAGACTTTAGTGATTCACTAAGAATGCTTCAGAAAAGTTAGATTTCATTTGAAAAACAAAAATTTGGATAAACAATTCAGCTACTCACAGCAGTGATTATCGGAAAACTGACCACAGCACTGAGAGTGTGATTAGCTATGAACCAAGAACAGGAAGCTATTGCCCAAAGTACGCCTGACAGGAATCCTGAAACACACACCAACATTGCACATTTAAAAGCCATGTTCTTCTCCCGAAAAATTCACACTCTAGATATTGCAGGAATGTTAAAGTATACATATCAATGCATTCCTCTCAACACGGTTGGCCGACATGGATTTTTGAGCTGTTTTATGATCATTTTGGAAATCAAATGATTTCTCTGCTCTTGACTGCAGTGGGTATGATTATCAATCCTTTCACTCTATTGACATTAAGTACTTAGAGTAGTAACTGAAGTAAAGATGAAGGCGTGGAGAGAGGCCTAGGGAAGATACTGGATCTGAATGCGCTCTGCAAACACCATTTACTCTAAACCATGAGCCTGAAAATAGATGAAATTCAAAATGTTGCTTATAGCTAAGGTAAAAAAAAAAAACCCTAAAATTTGAATGAAAATACCATGGGAAAATTTTCAGAAAAATTTAGCTAAGCCTTAATAAACATTCTACCATTTTCTATAATGGTGCAGTAGTACAGTGGCACACTTTGGCTTAAATGAATCAGGCACTCAAAATGAATCTCTGACATATGCTTTATTTTGTTCTATAAAAATTTTTACTTGTGGATCTATATTCCAAATCGAATTACAGCAAACTCCTAAATAAGTGAGAAATTATATATTTTTTAAACTTTTTTATTTTTTTAAGTTACAGGACTCTGACTTTTAATATGAATCTTTAGATAGTGAAGAAAAAATAATGAAGTCTGATCGTTAATACACAGGATGTTTTGGCACAGGAAATGATCTTAGATTTATTGTTCAAGTTTTAGTTTCTGTAATAATGATTGGCATGTCATATCCAGTTTCATGGTTTTTAAAACCTTTGTATTTGGTCATGAACTGGGCCAAAGAAACTAAGAGAATAAATAACACACAGACACACGTGCTTAGACACATACACACACATAGAGAGAACGGCTTGGTTTCTAGAAGATAATTACATTACTTATTTTAAATGAGTATAGAGAAATGAACTTTTACAAAGTAAGCAGATTTTCTGTGGTAAATATTCTTACCTGGCAAGACTGCTTCAGGATATAGCTTGGGATTATTTTTCATGGTTATACAGTAGGCCAGAAAATAGACTGTACTTGTAAGAAAGATGCCACTGGAGTATGCAAAAATATAATCTAAATCTGAAAATACAGATTATAAAACTCTCAAGTGTATCATTTTAGTAATTTCAAATATATTTAGAGTTTGAAAATAAAACAAACTCACCAAAATTAACCTTAAAAGGAACCATTAATTATATTTTATCTGCCTAGTTTTCTACATGCTGTTTATATAGAATTTTAATTAACATATTTAATTCCTAGAAATATTAACTAGTATATTAGTTACTATAATCAAATCTAAAAGGCTGGTTTTCATGATTATCTTAGAAAGTTAACTAAGAAACAAGAGACATATGACTATAAAGTTAATTTCTCCCTTTTAAGAATAGTTATTCAGACATAATTTCAATAACAACTACAGCAATTGTAGCAAGTCTCCAAGTAGACTAGAGTGGGAAAGGGTGTGAAAAAGTTTGGGGACTGCTAATTTTATAGAGTCTATTGATCAATATGGACACCAGTATCTCTGTTACAGATGACAGCTATACAGAAGGATATTTAGGAAGTTTTCTCAAAGAGGGTTACATCAGTTGTTAACTATAAACCTAATGACATGAGGGAGTTAATAACACATGCTGGTGGCCCAGTGTCTGAGAAACCCCAACTCCACTGACTATTCATGCAGATGGTACTTTGGCCACGTAGACGGATGTACCACAGGTTCTGGCTGGGAAGGCCTCACTGGACTCTGTGTTTCTCTAAACTAAAATTTTGACAGATGAATGGCCATATTTAAGGAAGAAAGCTTAAAGGTCAAAGAGTTTGTCTATTATTCTTAAGTCTTACTTCTGGATTGTATAAGAACACCAAACCCATTTTATAGACCACGACGAAAGTCAGCATAACATAGTGATTAAAAGCACCACTACCTGCCAACATGGACGCTTGGGCAAATTACCTAATCTCTCTTTGTCTTAATTTTTTCAATTATGAAACAACAATAATAATGGTATTCAACCAGTGACATCGCTATGAGGGTCAACTGTTATTATTTAATGTGCTTAGTACAGTGCCTACCACAGAGCATGTACTGCTTATGTGTCTGTTAAATAGATGAAATAAAAAATTATGCCCTCTTGGAATTATTTTTGAATAAATTGGAATAAAGTGTATTCCCATCAGGCTTAATCTGAGTTATCATAACAAAGGTCCCTGAGAACTGATTGTATTGTTTATGCAAAGAGACTGTTTAGTACATTGTTTATTATGTGCCAGTACCAAGAGTAACTATACTCCTGATCTATTAGTTGTTTTTATCTTGTGTTTGCTAAATTGTGGGACTGGTCTGATTTCCCTGTGGCTATAAGAAATCTTGCAGTCAAATTTATGGGTCATTTCTAGCCCATGTACAAATGTGGCACAGTTTTTACACTCATTCCTAGTTTTATTTTATTTTACTCTTGTTTTTCTTTCTTTTATTCTGTGTCATTCTATTTTTATTAGTTTTTATCCTTTAAAAGACTAAAAACATGAAAAGTATTTGTATAAAATTTTTAAAAAAGAGAAGTTAATAAAAGGTTTTTGTACTGCTCATAGAGCTGAATATAAAAAGGAAGAAGCTACAATAATTACTCAAAGCCTATTTACTTATTTACAGCTGAGTTAAAATCCCAGTTTTTTCCATCAATCATTCTCTCATGACTTTTGCGCTCCAGACTTTTCCCTTATGTGGACATAGATCACCTTAATTTTCTGTACCATCTAATTTAGAACTTTATTATCCATGATCTCATTCTTTTATCATTTCATGATGTAAGCCATGTTTCAACACAATTGTAAGACCTCTGGAGTAGACGCTTTTCCATTTCCTTTTGAGCCTACACAAGGCTATTGCACATAGTGTTGAGTTTACACCTGAGAGATTAATTTTATCACTAGAAACTGAGGTAATTAGAAAGCATCATGTTAGGCCTTTCAATGCACCACTTTGCTTGAAAAATAATATCCTCTGACTAAATAGAATATACTTTGACCTTTAGGAAGTCTATACTTTGCCCTTTACCTGATTTTAAAGTACTATGTATTACACTTTAGCCTTTTTTTTTTTTTAGAGAATACATATTTTCCCGGATATCATCTAACTGGAAAATAATCTCCAAGTCTTAGCTAGCAAGCTAGAAACCATGTGTTAAGATCCAAGTAGCTGAAATGAATCCTGACTAAAGCTGATTATATTTATATGTTAAAGATCACATGAAAATACTCAAATGGTCTTTTATTACTTTTAGTTTTCCATGCCTTTCTAATTCACCACTTGTAATGAAAAAGGTCAAATCGATGTATCCATATGTATGATGATCACATTCTTTTTATATACTTAAGTAAAAAACAGATATTGAGTTTATTTATAAAGTAAAATGACTTTTTAGTCTCACCATACTGGCTTGCCCCTGCATATATACTATCATTTCTTTTGCCGTGGTCCTTGATATAAATGATTGGCACAAATGTGGAGCCAAAGAGTATTCCAGATATTACTGCGAGACTGCAGCCCCTTAAAAAGCAAATATATCACTATTAGTCTTGGCCCTAAGCCATAGTTCTGACAAACATACAAACGGACTCATAACTAAGGCATACTTCAAAATGTAAATCACAAGCATTTTGCAGAAACCGCCCATCTATCTCAAGCTCTGTGACTGGCAGAAGTCAAAGAAATACCCTGCAGTGTCAAAGTGGCATCAGGACTAAGAGAGCAGCTTAGGTCCTCCACTGCCTAGTTCTGAAGATACATGATTTACAGAAGTTATAACAGATTTTTATTATAAATTGTCATTACACAGATGAAAGTATTGCTATCATATTATATAGCCTCCATAAATAAACCTGTCTCTCTAATTAAATTATGAAATATTTGTGGACTGGTGCTATGCACTATGCTTCTTTTTCAGAATACTCTATAATATCTAGCGCAGGGCAAGACAAAGGACTAAACACATTTGTTTAAAACAACTGCTGAGATCCACAGACTTGCCTATGTCTTCATTGACTGTGGGTGGAATGGTCAAGAGGAAGTGCTGATTTAATAAAATAACCTGGATATTTAAGGTAAAACATTGCCTTTTGTAAGAGGGAAATGTTTCATTTTAAGTACTGGGGTCATGTTGACTCCTCAGACTTGGGCCATATCAGCATGAAGTAACTGTTTCCAATGATTCTGTGGGGAGGTGATGAGTATTTTGGAACAGTGCCTTTAACTTAACACAAAAGGACAATGGCATGAAACAGGAATGAGTTTTAGGCAAAACCATTCCTTTGCAAACTAAAAAACAAATTCTTAAAGTCTATTTTAATAGTGCTTTAAAGAACATAAAATGGTAGAAACTGAAAATCCAATGTCATGGTAAAGCCTGCACTTGGCAGTCCCAAAGGAGTGTCCTAAACACACACCGGGCTGACAGCTAGATCTGGCTAACCAGGAAAGAGCCAAAAATGTTTTATTAATAAATATTCCCTCAACAAAGGAGATGCTTTATGGAAAAAAATGTTTTGTTTGAGAATCTCTTTTATTCTGAGGAACATAGCAACGTATTTATTTCTTCCAAAGCTTATCCTGTTTGTTGGTTCATTCTTTTGTTCAGTCAGTTTATTCAAATGTTTATTGAGTATTTATTATGCACCAGGCACTGTCTGTTTCCTAGTGTGAGAACAGTATATACTCGCAGGGGAAATGCTGTCTATATCTGAGGCAAAAGAAAGTGTCACCATATAAAGTACAAAACAGCCATCCATTGTAAAATGCAAGCTACATACTATTACATATTTTCATATTTCTTTGCCAGCCTCCAAAACTCTAATATACAGGGACTGCTGTCGAGCCTAAATTTCCTAGTCTTTACAAAGTCATGGTGGGTTGAGGGGCTGGGGAAAGGACCTACATGGAAACAAAATATTCTACAATATTTGAAAATGAATATCTTGGGATGATAAAATCATCTAGCATACGAGTGGAGAGATTTCCAGAGGAAGGTGGGCATTCTGGGCAGTGCAGTACTAGAGAAGTGTATTGCCTAATTCAATTGTGATTACTGAGAGCATGCTGGTCATTATACTCTGTGGTCTGTCCTACCTCTTTTATTATAGGTACAAAAGTCCTGCCAAATGAGATTGCTTTTGTCAGCTACTTATTGGCTAGAGATACTGCAGTGGTTTGGAATTTCTTGAAGCATGGAGACAAAAAAACCTCTGTACCTAAAAATTCAGCATTGTGCAAAAAAGTATATCCATCATGGAGCTAAGAAAGTCAAAGCGCGTGTTACCATTTTCTTCTTGGACTCATATAAATATGACTTCTCTTTGGTAACATTTGCTTTAACCCAAAATGAAACATAACAGCAGAACCTCTTCTTACACTATGCGAGACTGCACTGTAGAAAGTTTATCCACCCAGAAATAACCAGGACAGGGATCTTGAGTTTTGTTGATCACCTATTAAAAACATTAGCACAAATCAAAACAAAAATGGCAGATCAATAGGCATATTTTTACTCAGAATTTTTTTTTTACTAAATTAGTTGATAAAATATTTCCAACCATGTTGCAAGATTAGGCTAATATTCTAAGTCAAGAAATATTATGAGCAGATTAAAAATATTTCTACTATTGTATGTAATCATCTTTGCTTCTTAACTGGTTTCTTGATGTTATTTTCCTACTGCTTTTGTACAAGGTAAAAAACTAGATTTGAATTCTTTGTCATGTGCAATGTCAAGTTTTCCTTTGGAAGTAACTGGGGAGCTCAGGCTATATGGTTGATACTAACCAATAATGCTGTTTATGTATCTTTTATCTTGGTTTACTTGTATCCTTCCATTTTACCTAGAAAAATCCAGCCTACTATGCATCTTTTACCAAGTTGCATTTACGCTATTTTATTTTTTTTACTCCTTTGTAGGGTGGTTAGTTAGGAGGTATCTGGATCCCTATAGTAGGCAAGGAACACCAGACACCTCTTAACCCCAACTCCTTCATTCTCATGGGATCATTTTCCTGATTAGAAATGCTTATGGGTTAATAAATATCTTTTCTCTTACGCCTAAGCTAATTATTGTTTAACTTTATTGTCAGTTTAATTGAGGTTTCAGTCACCTTAGCTGATAAGACTTTTGATAGGAGAAGAGGGAAATAAGAAGAAAAGATTAATTTTGAAGTAAGGAGTAGAGGCGGCACTTTTCAGAGAAGCAATACCTCAGTGGGGCCGTGGGATGCTGGGTTCAGAGGGCAGCTGGATAACACTGGGCTCACGACAGGTAGAAGAGATACTTGAAATTGGAAAGACTAGAAATGGGGGTTTGCCATGAAATCACTTTTGTATATGTAGCCACCGCACTTCTCCTGTGTCAGATTTCCTCTAAAGGTTGTCCCTCTTTAATCTGGATTTGCTATGCCAGACTAATTTGGGTTCATCACAGTCAAAATGGTCACTCCTTACATATTTCCTGTTTTTACCTTTGAATAGAACAGGATTATGGCAGAAAAGATAAATAGAAAAAAAATCAAGTTCAATTCCTACTTTCGTAGGACTTGACTTACCCTTTCATCGGCGTCCTCTGATCTATTTCCCCCTGTCTCTCTGGACCTACTTTAAAACCTCTTTCCTCCTCCTCTCTAAAGAAACTTTCATATTTCTCTACAATATTTAGGGTTCTCCTATTGTAGAAATTCTAAAATCATCCCAAAATATGGGGTTGTATATACATCTTGTAGTAGGGAGCTGTTAATAAAAATAAACAGACTTCTGTGTTTGCTGGGAAGATTTCCATTGGAAGTAATGATTGATTGCTATATAGACAAAGCCATAATAAATATGCTAAGATATTTTAGATAGCCCTGACTGGAAAAAATATAAAAGATACCAATTTCTCAAATCGATGCATTTTCCTTTTATCTTAATTTTATATTTCAAATCAAGTTGTCTCTCATACTCACATGCTCTGTCATTAATGGTGTGGTGTCCACAGAACACATGTTATTTGGTATTTCACTTTTGATGAACAAAAATATGAAAGCACTGTAAAGAAAATAAATTTTAGTAATGCTTACCATAACCCTGTTTCATATCAAGTTGCCTGAATTAAAAAACAACAGCAACAACAAAAAACACAGCTTAAATCAAGCCCTAGTGGTATGATGGTCACTCCTCAACGGCCTCTTCTGTGGTCCTGCCATTTCTCCAAGACTACTTTTCTCTTTGACATTTCTCATTGTCCTCAGTTGCAACAGGTTAAAAGCTAAGATCCTGAGCTATCCCTCCAAATCAGATCTTTCTCCTTATTTTCTTTTTTCAGTCAACAGCTCCATCTTTCTTCTTATTCCTGCTTATCCCTGGAATCACTCGGTAAAAGAATACAAATAGAAACTACCTTGGAATAATATTTCTCATCTATTATATTGAAAAAAACTCCCCAAAGTTTAACAACATTCTTAGTTGGACAACGATAGGAGACAGGCACCGCTGGTCTGAGTGCAGAACTGTGCAGACCCCACAGAGGAGATTCTGGGGCCATGCACTGAAGCCACAGGTGTGTCCACTGCTGACCTTACCAATTCTATTCCAGGCCTTGTAACACAGGTACACCCACACTCAGGTGAAGTGAACTTTAATGTCACACAATGAAATACTGAGCACTAGTAAAAAGTAATGAGGGTGCCCTCTATGCTCTGGTATGGAAAGATATATTTTAAGTGATAAAGCACATGCGTAAGCCTAATGACTTTTTTCCTTTTTAACATCTCTCTCATAATGTACTTTCTATTTATGTCTGGCATCTTTATAACAAATGCTTCACTTCCGCTTGACTTTTGAACCGTGCAAATATGCTAAGATATGTTACAATATTAAATTAAGAAAACTAACAAGTTTGACTATACTTTTGACATTTTTTAATATACTCACACAGTTCAAAAGTTAAAATGATATAATAAG